TAATTTTTATGTCATAAAGAAATTCTTATTGCATTTTCCTTAATTTAGATACACTCTTAAAATTGCACTCTTGTGCTGTCAAGTGTGGAACAAAACGGAAAGAAATATCAGAAAGCAACAAAAGTTCTTTTAAAATTTTTGTAATAAATTTTAAAGTTTCTCTGCTGGAATATGACATTTATTTTCTGTTCTATCTCTTTTACTCTCCTTTTTTTCCACAGTATTGAACATTTTATTTTTATTAAACTTAATTCACATTTGTATCTAAACTTAATTTAATTTCAGAGACTCAGAAATATGTGTGCTTTTGATTTTAATACATATGATATCATTTGCCTTTGACGTTCATAGTACCTACAGAAATGGAACTATTTATGGAGTAGTTCTTAGTAGTAGACCATTCCTGAGCCCTTGTGATACATGGAAACTCCTAAGAAGGATAACTGACAGACATGGTTATTTAAATAGATTCAAGCAGCACGTAAATGTCAAAGGCATTTATAAGGTTTCCCAGTTCAGCTCAGTGTTTGTATTTGAATGTCTCTGCCCATCCTATAGCAGTAAATGTGGTTTATTCAGCTAAGATTTTCTGAAAAAACACAGATCAAACATGCTTATTTCAATTGCATGAATTTTGATGTGGTTAATATCTTGGTTGCTGTCTGGACATTGGAGATTCATATGTATAATCCAAGAAATCAATATTCAGAGTTGTTTGTGGTTTTTTTCTAAATGAATACATTCTGAGAATTGATTCTGTTGGTTTTTACAACAGGTACTGTGTGATCCTAACACAACCAGGTTTTGGCACTAAAATGTTTTGGTGTCACTGACTTGGTATCCTCTGGGAACTCTTATAAACATCCTTAATTTCATGTTTCTTTTATAATAATTCTCTATCCCTTTTCTTACAAAAATTATTTTTAAAACATAAACACTGAAGATCGTAAGTTAACTGCTTTTTCCATAGAGCTGCAAATGTTTATATTCTCTTAAAACTACCAATTATTAGCTCTGGGGGATCATGAAGTTAGTAATCAACAGAGATTATAGACTCTGGGGGAGATTTCCTGAAGTAAATGGCCAGTCTAGTGTGAAGGGTTGCCAGATGCACTGCAGCTTTGACCAAAAGTATGGATTTCTTCATAGTTTGGCATGAATTTTAGTATACAGACTAAGGCAAAAGGCAGCAGCCTTTTAATGTCAGCCATTCTCCCATTTACTCCCTGGAGATCTTAGGTTGCTTGGCAAGTTTTTGCTATTGACAATGTTTTTCAGCACTGCTGAGAAGGATCTGACAGTCTTCTTCATGCCCTCCTGTCAGGTATGTATGTTATTAAGATGCCCCCAAACCTTTTTGGGCAGCCTTTTTGGGCTGAAGAGTCTCAGCTTTCTCAGCCTCTATTTTTGTCAGATTCTCCTATTGCTTTGTGAACTTTGTGGTTCATTGCTGGACTCAGTACATAAGGTCTGTGTCTTTCATCATTTATAATTTAGAGCTCTTCTCACCTGCCTGGCCAGCCTGTTGCTGAACTTTAGATCTTTGTTTTATATTGCTTCCATTTTAGTGATATGCCCAGAAAAAGCTTCAATTCAGAATCACAGTCCTCAAAAAGACTTGTTAAAGAAAATAGAGGTACCATTTTAAATTAGTTTTGTTAGTAAATACTATTTGTAAAGACTTCAGTGTAAATTTACTCCCTAAACAAAATGTCGCGTCATTAAGTTACAAGAACAGGTAGTACACAGGCTGGCATGGAGCAAAGGGCAATCTCTTCCATTCCTTTCTGTCCTTGACCTCTGTACTCAGACTGCCACCAAGAGGAGCAGTTGTGATGGTGACAGTGCACACTGCTGTCCCTTACAAAGTACACCGAGCTCCTTGGCACAGCTCATGCCATTTGTTATAGATGCGAGTCTGGTTTCACAGGGCACTTGCATCCCCTGCTCTGTGCACACAGTGGTCATTCATTTGCCTGCAAATCTGCCTCTGAGACTTTAATGGATACCCATGTTTATGAACGGTATTCTGTAAATAAACAGTCAAGAGAACACAGCAAAAAGTCTTTCAATCTATTGTAGTCTGGCTGGAAATGGATGTTCCATTTCCTACTAGCAATTTTTGAGTCAACTTTCTCCTAAGAGCTTGACTAGTTTCTTCTGAACAAAAAAATAATTGTAGTTATTTCAATATGTAGAGCTTGAAAGGTGCCAATGTTAAAATGTTTAAATAGTAATTTGACTGGTTTCTTCCTTCTATTAAAAGTCATAAATAAAGATAAAATAATTCCTATAACGAAAAGTTTTTTCCCAGCCATTTCCTTCCATATTTTTTCCTTGCTATACCTAATTGAGAATATTGCAGAATTTTACATGTTATTAATGTAGAAAATAATCCAGTTACAGAATCACTGACAGAAGTCAGCCCCTTTTCTGTCCTTTTGGCAAAATGCAAAGGTAGAAGACCTTCTTTCCCTTTCATTAAATATAGTTCCAAAAAATACATAGTGACTTTAAAAAAAATTCTGTAATATTCATAATATGCTGCCAGCCTCAGGTATCAGAAGTCATGTGTGAAACTTATCAATATTTAAATAATTTATTGAATTTTAATAATTTCCTTAAATATAATTGTCTGAGCTTTCCCAGAACCTAGAAATCCTTGGATATCAGTGATTTGAATCTATGCATAGTCCTCTCAGATGTAAAATCCTGGCCCAAGTTCCTTTCCGTTTGCATGAGAAGTACAAATCTAAGAGGTGAATATTTAGGTTTGAATGAGGATCACTCACTGACATAATTTCTCAAGCAAACTCAGAGCCCAATCAATCCAAGTGATATTTAACTGAGGCAAAGTTTACACTGTTTATGAGTTTACACAGTTCTGCTGGCATCTCTTAGGACTGAGGAAGAATTCACCCTTGAATTGCCCATGCCCTGCTCATCTGCCAGAAACCTTCCATTCCTCCCCCAGCACACCCTGATCTAGACTTAACCAACAGCAGAGCAGCATTTTTGCCTAAAATCCCTGTCCCACTGACCAAGGAAGTGCTTCATGTGTAACCCAGAAAGGACTTCACAACTGTAAGCTGTGTCTGCAGCAGGCAGTATTGGAGGGACAGCTAGAGCAGAGGAGGCAGCGAGCCCCGCTCCCTGTGTGACCTCCATGGCATTCTGACTTGCCCAGCTTCTCTTCTGCCCTTGTCGAAATCTGACTGGGAATCACTGGTGTGATTTCACTGGAGCTGCACTGCCCCAGATTCCCAATGATAACACATCAAAAGAAGATTTTCCTTGGACATTGTCTAGAGTTTGTAGAGATCCCAAACTCAAGGGCCTGAATAAGTGGAAGTTATAATTACTAAATGTGTCAGGCACCTCAACCAGATATAAGTTGCCGAATATTGCAGAGATCAGTAGAGGTACACAATTAAAGAAATGCTGTGCCATGGCTTATACAAAATTATATGTTTCTGATTCAGATTTATTGCATCGGATTAATTTAGAAGACTGGAAAATCCCTTGCACACATTTAGAGCTGATCTTATTAAAACTCATTAACAGAAGTAAACTTTTATTTAATTGCCACTTGGTTTAATTTCCTGTCTGTAAATCTTCTGACAATAGCAGTATGTATAAAAGGAACACTGACCTAGCTTTTCAGAGGTGGTCAAATCTCAGCAGATTTTGACATATGTGGGTGAGTGACTGTGGACTCCTTTGAAAACTTCATAGACAATTATGCTATTGAAAACTTGATAGGAATAGATTTGATCCTGCAAGAACCTCTCTGGTAATATAAAGCAGTATGCAGATTTTTGAACAGAACAAACTTAAGAGAAATGATAATATTTTACAAATTGGCAGAGAACAGAGAAATAATTGTTTTCTTTGGTATTAAATAAAGTAATTGATTCAAAACTTATGAATTAAGCTATAATCCATCTTATTGCTATCAGTCATGTGAGACAGTGAACAAAGAAAATCCATGTTGAATTTGGTCTTGTTCGTATGATGAATTCATATATCAAGATCAGTGAGTGTCTTGTAAAGGTTTTATAAAATGTATATGTATCACTGGTATCACCATTGCCAGACTAGAGCAAGATTCTGAAAGTCACCAGAAGAATAGAGTTTACTTTTTCTCTTCAGTCTTTGTAGGAATTAGCAAATTTGAAAATCTCAGCTTAAAAATTGAAATGTTGACTTATTGTAAAGCTGCCACTGAAAGTTTCAGGACAATAAATATACATACACCCTTCTAATTCCTTGGGTTAAATATGTTCTTTACTATGAATATAAGCTTAATATTAAATATAGTGGAATTTTTAGTGACTGATGTTATCCAGGAAATCAAAGGCAGACATGGAAGAGCCCTGAGCAATAGATTTTTTAAGAAAGTGAACAAAACATATTCAGGGTGCAAAAAGTCTCCAACATAAAGCAGAAAAGCAAGCTAAATCAATCAGATTGTTTGCATTATATATGAGAAGAGATTTTAAAGGACAGCAACAGTAAGAAGTCTAATATTTTTATGAATGTATGAAAGGAATATTAAGTAAACTTCTGGGAAAGACCATGCTGAATAAATTGATTAAAGCTGTAAATCGGCTACTATTGAGGTATTTTTTATACTACATTTGTATCTTCATATTAAAATTATATATTTGCTTGATTTTTAAAGTAATGAATACCAGCCTTTTAAATAACAGGATTCTGCCTTTATTCTTTAAAAAAAAAATGGGAAGTGAAAAGGTAGGTGAATTAGTTCTCTTGGTAACAATCATTCCTATCCTGCTCTGGTTACATGCCTAGAAAATAATTAACAGATTTTCTCTAATGCTTCCTAAAGATGTTGAAACTAGAGAACAAATATTGACTGAGAGGCAGCAAAACTTGCCTAGACAGGAGAAATTAATGGTTTATATAACTGAAAACAGTTTGCCAAAAACAGAACAGAAGTTATGGAATATCTGATTTAAAGTTAATCACACGTCAAAATGGCCAGAGGTGGTGTGCACACGCACTTGGATATTTGCAGGCCACGCTTAAGTTCTGGTACTACATTAAAAGGTTCTTTCACCATCCTGAGGATCTGCAGGGCCCCCGTTCCTGTTGCTGGGAGCTGCTCAGGAGATGATTTCGCCACGAGAGCCTTTTGGAAGCAAGAGGGAGCCAGTCATGAGGACCTGAAGAGGTTGTGGCCTAACCAGGCTTTCAGAAACAGGAGCAGAAACTTGCAAGCATTATGTTTGCCGCTGTTTATCAGGGTAAAAGAGGAAAGGACTTTGAGGAGGAGTTGAGGAAACAAACCTGCACCTTGTAACTGGGTCCAGCATATTGGGTAAGATGGATTTTGGACTGCAGTGTGTAAAATCACAGAGGAGGTGGAGGCAGTTCACTCTCCCCCATGCAAAGGTGGGATGCCTCTCATTCCGTTTGTTCTCCCCACACATGTGCACACCCCTTCCCCCAAGTGTGAGCTCTGCTTTGGGGTTGGGAAAAGCAAAGAGAGGCATTTGTTCCTAGCGCCGGCGTGGCTGCAGAGCAGGGTCAAAGACCACCTGAGCCCACGGGTGTTACGCAAGAGGCTGTAATGAAGGGGCCCCAGCCCGCAGCATCCACCAGCCCGCCTCCCGCTGCCCTCCCCAGTGCCGGCCCTGCGGCTCAGCGGGTTGCGAAAGCCTCAGGAGTACATAAAGCATTCCCTGCCTGGGCACTGCCACCACCATCAACACTAGGGCTCCCAAGAGGCTCCAGGGACCGGCACTGTCTGTAAGGGACCCTGCTGCTATGGGTTGGGGATGAGCAGGGGCCTTGCCTGCACATGCATCAGGGAAAGCTGCGTGACACCCTGGTGACCTACCAGGGCAGCCTTCCTCTCTTCACTTGTGTGACAGAACTTGTTTCTGATGCTATTCTCTGTTTGCTGCAGGGACAGGATGGCCCACACACAGAGAGCTCTGCCCTGGCTGCTGCTGCTGTCACTGGCCTTGGTGGGCAGCAGCACTGCAGAGCGGGACTGCCGAGTAAGCAGCTTCAAAGTCAAGGAGAACTTCGACAAGACCAGGGTAAATCTTCTTTATTCTCCTGGATCTGTGATGTCTTGCATAGCTCTTTCCAGGCTACAAAATTTGGCATTCAGCAGCACCAGTGTGGTCACATTTTGAAGTCACAGACTGTGACACTGAAAAAGAGCTAAAGTTTGTGATGTGCACACCTCCACAGATGCTGAATCCTAGTGCACCTGATAAAGGAATACTGCAGAAACTGAGTTTTAGCAGACTGGTCTCAAACTGTAGGGTATAAGCAGAAGGACTGTATTGACTTGGCTGTTTCTATGAAAAATTAATACTCTGGTGTTTTCAGACACCATTGCAAGGAAAAAAAATGTACATAGATCTGACAAGACCTTCCAGTTGTTATTCCTTTTTCCACTAAATTTTGTTATACTTATACTTTGTTATATAATCCTTATACTAGACAGCTGCAGATACAGGTAAGTTTACCCAAAAAAAGTCAGTATTTCAACACATTATGATTGCACTAGCATGTATTGATGGGTTTATGGTGTTGAAACAGATAGATTTGCTTCTTAGATACACCTTTGAGGCATGATGTCAAAGATCTGCATGCTCTTCCCTCTGTCACCTCCCCTATTCTGTACTGTCTGCTTGTAATGTTTCCATTGTTCTAAGTCTACATGCAGCCTTTCTTATTTCCTTGCAGTACAGTGGCACCTGGTATGCTATGGCAAAAAAAGATCCTGAGGGGCTGTTTCTGCAGGACAATGTGGTAGCCCAGTTCAGCGTAGATGAGAATGGACAAATGACTGCCACTGCAAAGGGCAGAGTCAGACTCTTCAAGTAAGCTGTTTGCCACTTGTTCCATTTTGCTAAGCTCCAATCCTACCTGCTTCCCTGTGCAAGTCACTGAAGCTGTGCTCTTACATTGGAATGTAATATTGTCTTTGGCTACAGTAACTGGGATGTCTGTGCTGACATGATCGGCTCTTTCACTGACACAGAGGATCCTGCCAAGTTCAAGATGAAGTACTGGGGAGTCGCCTCTTTTCTGCAGAAAGGAAGTGAGTACTTAACTATAGAGGATGCAGAACTACTTGGAAGACTAGTTATGTTGTGTGTCCATGCTGGGAAAATAAAAAGTTCTGTTGAATTTCTTAAATGCACTTAAAAGACATAATAACTATCCTACTGCAAAAGCTTAATGTGAACAAGGTAATCACTACTTTTTATATGGGACAGCTGGTTGGCTCTCTTTAAACAAGTGAAGACCTGGCCTTTGTATATCTTTGTATTTCATTTGTTTGTTACCCAACAATATAATTGAAGGCCACTGTTTGAAAAGAAATGAAAAGCAGATGAAGTATTTTAAGACTTGTTTTAGTTCAGAACTCAGTTACCAGATGCTAGTGTTCTCTCTGCAGCCTGATGTCAGAGCTGGCAAAGCAGGGAAGAGGATTTATAAAATGTTATTTTGTTTGATCTCGTGTCTCCAAATGTAGAGATTTCTCTGTTTTAAGAGACAAATATGATCATATGTATATATTTGTACTTTTATGTCATCTCTTCACCCTATACAAAATCAGTTTCGTGAGTCAATTTGAGATTCAGACACTTTGTAGCTCAAGACATTTCCTTGGATTGTTTGCAAGAGAAGCAGGTAGAATTTGGAACTGATAGGAGCTCCATTCCATCCAAAGACACAGTTACAAAGCATGTTTTGGATGTCAATTTGTCTTAAACAGTTCCCAGGTCTCCCCAGAATATGCTGCTGAGTCATGGGCTCTTCAGGTTGCTGGCTGACCCCAAACTCTGCCTTTCTAAAAGGTCTGGTGTCCCCCCACAGGAGAGAAGGAGAAGACAACAGGAGGTTGCCTTCACCAGTGCAGATGTACTGCAAGGGAGAATCTTTGGCTCAAGGAGTGGAAGTTGCAGATATGTCAGGTTTTACTGCAAACACTGAAACAGCCTCACTTCTGTTAGAACTGAGTGTCTAGTGTGACCAGATTTTTGTCAGGTTACATAGCTAATTGTTTAGAATTATCTGAAGTTGTAACAGTGTTTTAAGAAGAGGGTTCTAATACACAAGCAAACTGCATTATTATCTTTTTCCTTAAAAATGTAGTCTATTAACATCCCTGGTAAGAAAATATTTGTGGGTTTGAGTCACTTTGAGCAGGCCGAGCATGTCCGTCTTTATTTTCTTTTAAAAAATAAACATGGAATTAAATGCTGGACACAGGAATAAATGAAAAGCTAATCTGCTATAACTTGTACTGATCTTCATCTTAGCATTTTCTTTAATAGACTTATGGCAGCAATCCTTTCTGATTTACTGGATTTCACTGGTGTCTCTAACACTTTTTCTCCTTTGCTATGTTTTTTTCCAGATGATGATCACTGGGTAGTGGACACAGATTATGATACATATGCTCTTCATTACTCCTGCCGCCAGCTAAATGCAGATGGCACTTGTGCTGACAGCTACTCCTTTGTGTTCTCCCGGGACCCCAAGGGATTGCCTCCAGATGCACTGAAAATTGTCAGACAAAGGCAGATAGACCTCTGTTTGGACAGGAAATACAGAGTTATCGCCCATAATGGTGAGAACTTTTTTTTTCTGAAGAATTTTATTTCAGGGTGTAATGACTAAAGCACTGGGATTCTATTACTCATTAGATATCAAGTGCATAAAGCCTTTTACTTAGTGGCTGTAACGCTGTCTTTTGAAAACTGGAGCTTGTAGTAACTTATTTCCAACTTTAGCTTCCCTTATCTGAAGGAGAGCTGAGGTGCGTAGTTTTTCATGCAACATATCAGGTCACCTGAAACAGTAATTAGAGGAAGTTGTATAGCAATTAAGTCAATGTAGTGTGAGTAAACATAGTAAGGATAAACTTCATAGCTATGGTAAAAAGTAATTGGGCAGCTTTTATCACATCTTTTTGCCTTTGTTCAAATACTTTTTTGAGAAATTCATCAGAAAGGCTTTTAAGGAAAATAGAAGTCTTGGAAAGGAACACCTTACAGAAGACCCTTTCTCACAAGTCCTTATGTTAACTGTTTCACAAAGAGCTGTGGAAGAGGGTCATAGCCCTGATACTGGAAGCATGACACTATCTTGAGTCCTATAGTCAGGCTGAGCTTACAACACAGGGAATTAGCTCACTTATGCTCAAGTGTATTACAAAGGTCAAATGGTAATAATCTAGAAGAAACCATAATGTTTCTTATGATAAGAATTACACCCAGAGTGGGGAATTGTAAAGAGTGAAGGAGAAAAATCAAAATATTTAGAACAAATAAAATAGTAGTACCTCTCCTTACTCCCTCCCCACCTCTCACATCCTGGAAGGCATGCTATTTATGAAAGACTTGACTGGTGAATCAGCTGAATGGGAACTCCCAATGTAATGATGTGAGCAAAAGAGTTAATACAATTCTTGCATGTGTAAACCAAGACTCACATGAGATTGTTGTGCTTGGCATAGGTCTAATTGCTATGTCACATGAGGTAACAAACATGACTGGAAAAAGTATTGAGGATGAATTAGAAGTTTCGAAGAAAAGCAGAAAAAATTATTGAAAGTTTGTAAAATGTGTCCTCTAGTGAGTGCTTTAAAGATCTTAATCTTTTCCTATTAGGAAGAGGTTAAAGGCTGACCTGAGCAAAGTCTATGCTTGTCCACACAAGCAATAGGAATTGGATAGAAAATGACTTGCAAACACAGAAATAATTTAAATGGATGGAACTTTAAACTGGACACATTCAGAGCAGAAATAAACAGCCATTTGTTTAACTCCAAAGGTTGTTAACCTTTGGAACAGTTTACCAAGAGCTGTTGCATGTTCTTCATCACTGAAATCTGTAAACCAAGATTAAAGGCTTTTCTCAATGACATGCTAGAACAAACTGAGATTGACTGAAGGAACTTTTGGGCCTTATAAAGAGAGTCAGAACAGATGAGCTAAGTCAGCTGTTGTGGCTCTATTATCTGTTCATCTGATCCATAAACAGAGTAATACATTGCTGTGTTGCTTCAAGGAACCCTGTCATCAGATCTGTTGCTAATTGTGCACACTCTGCCTATGTCTTAAAGCTAATTAAGAGTGTGTGTGTGTGTGTGTGTGTGTGAGCTCACTGAACTAATAGATGTACAAAACTTACTTGATTAAAAAAAAAATCAAAATATCTATACTGGCTGTTCAAGGCAAAAAAGAAGCCTAGGAAATGAAAGATTTTTGTTCTAACTTACACTGCATTTATGATGGTAGCTCCTTCTCAAATATAGCTCAAGCTAAGATATTCTTAGTCTCTCAGAGTAGTAGCTCAAGTAACTTTAAGCTGTGTAATGTCAATATTAAGTGAGAGTACTTGTAAATACAGTGTCATATCAGTAGAGTTGAAAGCCACATCTGCTGTTAGCATTTGCTGGAAGCAACATTTGTGAAATAAAGAGTGGTATATTCCTTCTGCTAATTTACTATTGCCATTAGAAGTTTTGGGGGTCAGGAGATTCTTACTTTGTTGAAAGAATCATTTTTAGGGAAATAACTAGAAGCTTGTTAAAGTATAGACTCTTTTAAATCTAGTATCACTGAAAGATATTCTGTCATTGATCTGCCCAGTACGTTGTCTGCAAAAGTATTAAAATTCTCAGGAGAAGTGTAATGGATTGGATGAATTCCTGTTTTGTTCCGAGTTGAAAATTCCTTAGAATTATAAACAGCAGAGTAAGGTAATGGCATTATTATTACAAGTAAAGACTGCTGGACTCAAGAGCATTTTAAAGAAATTAGCAAGCATTTTAAATTTGGTGAAAGTTTGTGTAATTACGTTTTGTCTGGAGTGTTTAACAAACATAACTGTGGTTTTTGTGTGTTTCAGGATTTTGCTCTTAAGGAGATCCAGCCCTATGGAAAGAAGCCATGTTACAGCACCATGGATGTAAAGTTAACACATTGATCATGTGTTCTCTGGAAAATGCTTTAAATGGGTCCATTTAGATTTTCAATATATTTATCTGAGCTGTGTAGCTCATTTTGTTAATAAACCAATGAAACATTTTAATAAACTTGGATTACATGGGATACAAATTGTATGCAAATCTGTACATATGTACACATTGGTTTCATTAGTAGCCTGTTATCTTAGTGCACTCTTTTGAACTGGTGGCTGGTGATAATTAAGAATTTAATCTTGCTTTTTGTAGTGGTTTCAATTTCTGACTAAAAGAGTATTTATCATAAACCACCAAGTATATGTATTTTTTTTTCAACTAGAACATTATATTTTCCCAATAAAATACTCGAATCATTTAGAAAAGAGAAAGGAATTTCAGTGACCCTATATATCACTAATTAACTTTATTATATGACTTGCAAAGACATAAAAAATATACATATTTTTAAAAGAACTATTTTACACATGACGATTAACCATTTATTTATTTATTCTTTACTTATTAATTCTCATGTATTAAGTCCATATTTTTAATTTGAGATGGAACCAAACTAGTCATTTACTTGATGATAACACATGTTCATTACCTTGTTTCAGTTAGTCTGCTCAAACTTACATTCAGGCAGACAGTTATTGAAGTTTTTAATCAAGTTCCCTTTAAAAACTGGATTTTAAAAAAAGCAGATACTTTTTGAGGATGAACATTTTCACTAGAAACTTTTAAGTACTTAATTCAACTATTTTACATTCACCAAGTTCATTGCCATATTTCTGTTTATTTCAGCGTAAGAAGAGAATTCAATCCCTTAAATTAAATTGTCCAAATCCTACTGAGGCAAAGCAATGAAGTCAAGAGAATTTTACCCACAGGAATTAAAAATATGTATTTAGCTTTTTTCCTCCTCCTCTGGCATGTAATACTATAACATAATGACCTATATGACCTGGGATAGCATAGACAAAATCCAAAATGTGGCATAGCTCAGACTTTAAATAATTATCTGGTAATGAAAGACAAATGTGGCTGTTCATGGTTACTTCTTCTTACAGTGGTTTCTGTACCTGCTCTATGCCTTTGAGGGTTCCCTGTACAACAGAGAAAAATTTCCTGACATTTACGTCTGAAATAGGCAACATTATACAGAATTGGATTGACAGCAGAGTTGGCAAAAGTGAATAATACTATCCAGAAGAAAACTGATGGCAAAATATTTAAATCTTTTTTGAAGTTCTGAACTAAAATTAAAAAAATAATTACTATTATTGGAGTCCACATAATGAAGAAAGAGATCATCAACAAAAAAAGGGCTCGGAATAGTTTGTAGTCTTGCTGGGAAACACGAATCTGATGATGTTCTGGATAGGCTAAACCAGCATTTAAACTTCTTCTTGATGCTTTTGTAATCTGCAGTAAAAGAGAAGAAAGCAAACTTTCACTGAAACACATTTCTACAAGTGAAAACATAAATTTTGGCACATGATGTTTTCTTTTGAAAAGTGACTACAAAAAACCACATTGCAGAATTCATTTGTACTTTTGTCCATGGTTCCATTTCAAATGTTCTTACTTCACTAGCAATTCTTTTTCCTCTCAGCTGTGAATTCATCTCAATATTAGGCAAAGTGGTTGTTCTTTTCATGGCTCTCTACCAGTCACAAATGCTTTTCAGCATAAAACAGTCTTAATTACTCATGAAATCCCATTAAATTCAAATTATGACCTCATTTGCTCTATCTAAAGAAACCCATTGATTTTTTTCACAAATGCAAACTGAACATAGTTTACAATCCTGTTGATGCACAAGAAGGAAGGCGATCCAATTCTCTTATGGACAGGCTGATATTGTAAGGTAGGTATTAGAAGGAGCATGAATTTATTACAATAAATTATTTTAAATGTGAATGAGATTGTGCATTGCTTTGTGTCACACTTAGCTTTTCAGACAGTAATCATAATTGCTTTGTATGAAATCTTACAGATCGTTAGAGTCACTATAAAAATCTCTGTGTCTTATAAAAGCACTCTGATATAATAAACTAGACTATGGGTAGCTTGGAAACCTAGTATTCACAGGTGTGCATCATCTGTCATTAGGTAAAATATTGGACCCAGTGGGCTTGCAGAAAATTTGAAATCCTCTGCTCTAAATCCCTGTCTTCCCTGAAGTTGGCATGGCACAATTAATTTTGCTACATTCATACCTCTGATGCAAAGAAATTAAAACTGAAATATCTAGCAAAGATTTGTGCTAAATTACTGAGATGCCACTTTATCCCCTGCATGCATAAGGAAGGGGTGTTTCCAAAAAGCCTGGATCAATCAAGGCTTGATCAAGGTTTTGATTAATCCTTAGCTGACTATACAGGAAGTCAAAAGATAAGGCTGTACCTGCCACTTTTCCCTTTAGCAGAAACTACAGGAAGGATAACATTAATACTAGCAACATTTTAACTTCCTGGTACAGGTAAGGATGAAAATGTTTAGAGAGAGTAATTTGTCATTTTGTTTGCAGTTTTCTGAATTTTTCATGGAGATAAATACTCATTAAGAATCTAGACATCTTCAAAATATTTCAATAGAATGTATAAATTAAAACCCGTGAACCAAAAGTGCATTTCTTAGCAGCTTCTGAGGCTGAGAAGGGGACAGTATCACTATCACAGCTGCTCCCCTGATTTAAAAGGAGTAGAGAAGTCTGATGTCCTGACCATGTAAAACAATTCCAGCTTGATGGTCTTCTGCTGTACATTCTGGAATTCAGAAACTAGGTTAATTCCTTCAAACAGCCCAAACCAAGAATTGTTCTCAGAGAGTGCCTAACCTATCTTAGTAAGTACAAAGGTTTCACAAAATGCAAAGGACTATTATCCACTTCTAATATAAAAATAGGAAAACTGGGTTGTGTGCGCTTCTCAGTCATCACTGTTCAAACTGCTACAGAATGTCCTCATCAGATACATTTTAATCTGTCCCATATAAATACCTTCTGTCTTTCCTGCAGGAGCTGCACAGTCTAGAACTAAGAATGCAAGAGTCACCAGGACTGCGTTAAATAAGACACAATTGCTTCTTAAGAAAGTGTTCAAGAGAAATGGAGTGGCAGTGGTAAGTTGTGGATCTCTTTTTGGTCTACCCAGTATAGATACCTGTCCTTGGCATCTGGGCCACACTTGGACAAAAAGGAACTTAAAAGTCAGATATATATAAGCATGTAACTTCCAGAACACAGACATCTTCCCTAGCTCTAGCCTCTGACAAAGTCTTGCCTGAGAGGCAGGACAATGGAAAACCAAATAAATTACAAATCATGGCATCTAATCTATCATTTTTGCCAGGGTTCTGGGAAGTGTTATGTAAAAATAATGCTCAGTTTCAGACTAAATTGTGAAGTACACATTTGTAGTAGTGTATATTTCTAAAAAATTTCTGGTCTTGCATCTGTAGTCAGTCCTCATCATTCTGATCAATGTTGTAATGTGAATACATGAATGCTTGGCACTGCTTCCAGCAATTCTGAGACTCATGCTATGTGTGCACTGACATGATGGAGCATCCTCACAAAGTGAGAGTGAGTCTGCTCTTGGGAATGACTCAGGGATTGAGACATTCTCCAGTTCAGTTCTGCTTGCTTCCTGGAGAGAGAGAAGATTCAATTATATCTTGCTATGGCCCTCAAGCCTTCCTCATTTCAGGGGAAATGGTAATGTATTGAAGCATCTCTGTTAGCAAGTTAGAAAAGAAACAGGAGCAGAGCAGCATGGGGATGTCTTGTAATCCAGTATTCCAATCCATGCTTTTGGTTTCTAGCTCCCTATGTGCCATTTTTAAAATAACTTTACCTGTAATCTGGAGTCTGCAAGGACAGGACTAACAAACACCATTCCTGTCCTGGCCTCTGACCAAGAACTGTGGCATTTCTTGGCCTCCAGTAATTTGCAGTTCTTTCAAAGGACTCATTCTCCAGTGAGTTACTCTGAGCTCTTTGCCTACCTGTATGTGGTTGCAAGTGCTTTACTTCACTACAAGAGGTTCACCTAATGCATTTACCTCAAGGTTATAATGAGCTAATACAGAAACTACAGGCTGATGACTTCTACTACAAGTTTAAGTTTGATCAGTAAGCAAGGATATGTGGAGACCAGATTCTAGGTCCTTGGCTCATTTTACACCTACATCCAGCTCTGGCATGTGCATCCAGAGCCTGCTGGTGCTCAGCATTTCATCAGCTAACTCCTTGCTCAATAACCTATGTATGTTGAGGTTCCTTTCAAAACCTATAATTTTCTTATGAGAAGTTTAATTACCCAAAAAAGGAAGCAAGGATTTTGTAGGTGCTTGTTAAAAACTAGGCATTGCAGTGACTAGTTCGAAGTGCCTGGTTTGAAGATTTCTAGATCTTTCTCACTCTGGTTTTGGATACTTTAAAAGGAAATTAGATGCTAATATAATGCTTGCTAGACTATAGATTAAAACTCTGTAGTGCTGGGTGACTTATATTTCAGCATATATGTTAAACATCATCCTCTTAGAATGAAAGTGGAAGCAGATGATTTAATTTATAGGTTTAATTTACAATATTTGAAATTGTGGAGGATTAAGCATAATCTAATGAGATCTGTGTACTAAAGACACATGCAGAAACTCAGTAGGTCAAAAAGTGGATGGTTTTTTTTCTAGTCCTGCCTTTCTCTGCTTTCTTACAAATCCCCTGTAATGAGTTTAGGCTCAAGGAAAGCAAAATCAAGTTTTTAGTTATTTCAAATGCTTGACTCTTTCAGCATTTAGGAGATTGACAGTCTTTAAATATGAGCAGCACATAAATGTAGAAGTGTATTTAATATTTTTCATAAGAAGACAAACCATGTGTTGGGCCTCTGGTAATGTGCTGCTGAAGCATGTTCTTAATTGAAGTATATAGACTGTTATGTGCAGGTTGAA